TGGGGACTATAATTAATAATACTTTTATTACATGAAAATTGCTAAGAGACTAGATTTTAAGTGTTTTACCACAAAAAATGATAAGAATGTGAGGTAATACTTATGTGAGTTAACTTGGTTTAGCCATTCCACAATGTATACATATTTCAGAGCATCACACACACCATAAATATATACAATTTTTATCAATTAAAATAAATCATAATAATGTTACTGAAAAAGACACCTCATAAAAATGAGGTGGATACAGACGGAAAAGTATATCATTGGATGTGTTTATTAAATCACAACACCCATTTTTAAATGCTGTCCATCAATTATGCAAAGTTTTTAAAAAATAAATCCTTTATTTTAGAGTTCAACATTATACAGTGTAATCATTTTTCATGTCCCTTTATCAATTCCTCCCTTACCCCGCCCCCCGCCCACCTTTGGTAACCTCAGTTCTGTTCTCTCCTTTTGAAAGTTCAATGTGTTATTGTGATTGTTGTATCTTTCTTTCTTTTTTTAATTTGTTTATTTTTTAGCTTCCACTTATGAGTGAGGACATGTGATATTTCTCTTTCTGTGCCTGGCTTATTTCATTTCACATGATTTTCTCTAAGTTCATCCATGTTGTTGCAAATGGCAGTATTTCATTCTTTTTTACGGAAGAGTAGTATTCCATTGTGTATATATACCACACTTTTTTCCTTATCAAGCTGTCTAACAATGGACATTTAGACATTTAGTTTGGTACCAAGTCTTTGGTATTGTAAACAGAGCTGTGATAAACATAGGAGTGCAGGTATTCCTTTGCCATGATGACTTCCATTCCTTTGGGTATATATTCAGCAATGGAATTGCTGGATTGTATGGCAGTTCTATCCGTAGTTGTTTGAGGAAATTCCATACTGTTTTCCATAATGGCTGCACCAATTTACAGTCCCACCAACAGAGTAGGAGGGTTCCCCTTTCTCCTTATCCTCACCAGCATTTGTTATTCTCTCTTTGCTTGATTTTGTTGATGTGGTATATCACATTTATTGACTTGTATATGTTGAAACAACCTTGCATCCCTGGGATGAATCCCACTTGATCATGGTGTACAATTTTTTTGGTGTGGTATTCTATTTGATAATATTTTATTGAGGATTTTTGTGTCTATGTTCATCAAAGATATTGGCCTGTAGTTTTTTTGTTGTTGAATCTTTATCTGGTTTTGGTATCAGGGTGATGCTGGCCTCATAGAATGAGTTTGAGAGAATGGCCTCTGTTTCACTTTTTTAGAATAATTTGAAGAGAACTGATATTAATTCCTCTTTAAAGGCTTGGGTAGAATTCAGCAGTAAAGCCCTCCAGTCCTGGACTTTTCTTTGTTGGGAGATTGCTGATTACTGCTGCAATCTCGTTGCTTGTTATTGGTCTGTTCAGGTTTTCTGTGTCATCTTGGTTCAGTCTTGGCAGTTTTTACGTGTCCAGAAATTTATTCATTTCCTCTAGGGTTTCAAATTTGTTGATGTATCATTGTTTATAGTAGTCTCTAGTGATTGGTTGTATTTCTGTGGTATCAGTTGTAATGTCTCCTTTTATCATTTCTAATTTTTGTTATTCAGGTCTTCATGTTCTTTTTTTTAGTTAGCCTAGGTAATGGTTTGTCTATTTTGTTTATCTTCTCAAAAAACCAACTTTTTTTTTTTTTTTTTAAAGATGACTGGTAAGGGGATCTTAACCCTTGACTTGGTGTTGTTAGCATCACGCTCACCCAGTGAGCAAACCGGCCATCCCTATATGGGATCCGAACCCATGGCCTTGGTGTTATCAGCACCGCACTCTCCCGAGTGAGCCACAGGCCAGCCCCAAAAAACCAACTTTTTTTTTTTTTAAAGATGACTGGTAAGGGGATCTTAACCCTTGACTTGGTGTTGTTAGCATCACGCTCACCCAGTGAGCAAACCGGCCATCCCTATATGGGATCCGAACCCATGGCCTTGGTGTTATCAGCACCGCACTCTCCCGAGTGAGCCACAGGCCAGCCCCAAAAAACCAACTTTTTGTTTCATTGATCTTTTGTATCATTTTTGGGGTTTCTATTTCATTTAGTTCTTATCTGATCTTAATTATTTCTTTCCGTCTACTAATTTAGGATTTGGATTGTTCTTTTTTCCAGTTCTTTGAGGTATAGCATTAAGTTGTTTATTTGAAATCTTTCTATTCTTTTGATGAAAGCATTTATTGCAATAAACTTCCCTCTTAGTACTGCTTTTACAGCATCCCACTGGTTTTGGTATGATGTGTCTTTATCTTCATTAGTTTCGAGAAATTTTTTGATTTCCTGTTTAATTTCTTCTTGGTCCTATATGTTGTTAAGGAGCATGTTGTTTAATTTCCATGTGTTTGTATAGTTTTCAGAGTTTCACTTGTTATTAATTTTGCTTGTTATTGGTTGTTATTGATTTTCACTTGTTATTGATTTCTAGTTGTGGTCTGAGATAACACTTGAAATGATTTCAATTTTTTAAAATTTGTTAAGGCTTGATTTGTGACCTAATGTGTGGTCTGTCCTGGAGAATGTTCCATGTACAAATGAGAAGAATGTATATTCTGTGGTCGTTCCATGGAATGTTCTGTAAATATCTGCCAAGTCCAATTGGTGTGAAGTGTGGTTTAAATCCTGTGTTTCTCTGTTGATTTGTTGCCTAGGTGATGTGTACAATGTTGAAAGAGGGGTGTTCAGGCCCCAACTATATCATATTTGGGTCTGTCTCTTTCCTTAGGTGTAATAGTGTTTGCTTTTTATATCTGGGTGCTCTGATGTTGGGTGCATATGTATTTATGACTGTTATATCTTCTTTTTGCTGGATAGATCCCTTTATCATTATATAGTAGCCTTCATTGTCTCTTTTTATAGTTTTTGGTTTAAAGTCTATTTTATCTGTTATAAGAATAGCTACTCCTGCTTGGTTTTGATTTCCATTTGTGTGGTATATCTTTTTCCATCACTTCACTCTTAGTTTGTGTGTGTCTTTAGAGGTGAGGTGAGTCTCTTCTAGACAGCATATAGTTGGGTCTAGCTTTTTAATCCAATCAGCCAGTCTGTGTCTTTTGAATGGGGAATTTAATCCGTTCACATTTAAGGTTGTTATAGAAAGGTTTTATCTTACTTCTGGGATTTTATCAGCTTTCATTTGGATGTTTTAAGTATCTTTTGGCTTTTTACCTTTTACTGTTTATCTTCAGTGTTGGTTTTTGGAGGTGGTAAGATACAGTTTCTTTCTCTTCCTTGTTTGCATTTTTATCCTACCAGTGGGTTTTGTTCTTTCTTGTGTATTCATGGTAGTGATTATCATTTTCTAGATTCCAGATGAAGAGCTCACTTGAGGATTTTTGGCAGGACTGTTTATGTGGTGGTGAACTCTCATAGTTTTTGTCTGGGGTATGCAAAGATTTTTATTGACATTCCATCTTCCTTGATCTCAAAGAGTGATTTTTCCAAACTGACCAGAAAATGTTGTGTTTTCACATTTTTAAAAAATGGGTTCAAAGCCTGCTGAAACTCTGAAAAGATTTTTTTCAACAGGTAAAAGGTTTTAAATGTTTAAACTGAGAGGATAAGATATTTCTACAGGTAATTTACATCATTTTTAGCAGCAAAATCATAACCATGTAGCATTTCCAAATATAGAATTTCATGTGCTGTCTCTATAGCATAAGTATCTTTTTGAAAGCAGTTTACTTTTTATTCATTGTTATAATTTTATCTTGAAGGAAAAAATTGTGTTTATTTTTTAGATAATACCTGTTTGGTAGCATATTATCATCAACTACTTGCCATCATAGAAAAGGCCAGCAAATTAGGACACTGGTCTTTTTTAAAAAGAAAAATGAGTAGCCCATCAACGTTGTTAGACAGCTCTTTTAAGTATTTTGCCATAGATAACCAACAGACCTCTATGTGAAGCAAAGGATTTTTATGGTCATTTTGTATACTGTTACAAAATTTAGTAAATGTTCTAATTTTTAAAGGTCTTATTTTTAAAACATACATTCTGAAGCAAGTAAGCTGCAATGTGTTACAATAAACAGAAAGATTACAGGTAAGTAAGGTGCCACTGTCAACCTCTGCATTCTGGATCTTCCCTCTGTATTCAAGGGTTTGTAATATATGACTGTCTGGACTGAGTGAGACACCACGGTATCACTATGTTTATTAAGTTTAATTTCTTTCTTATATTTAGATTACAATATAAATAGAGGTTCTGATTTTTTCCCTTTACCCTTGTGAATATTATGCATCCCTTGGGTACATATATCTCCTTTTGGAGACCCCCGGCTCCATCTCAGTGCATAGGAGGCCCCCCTGTGATTTGGCTCCTGTCCTCTGCTGACTCATTTCCTGCCACAAGCCTGTCTTGTACCATGCACTCCAGCAACTCCAAACTGTTTATTCATTTCCTTTTTGTGCCTTGCTCTCCCTTCTGCCTTGAATATTCTTCCCTCAATCCACTTCTCCTTCTCTACTATGCCTTTTGTAAGTTGGGGAGGTGTCCATGTGGAGCCTTTCTGTGCTCCCCACCCCCCAACTCCAATTCCAGATTGGGCATCCTTCTGTGTGCTCATAGAATATTTTGTGTATGTCTCTGATACTGCATTTATCCCTGGCATTTTATTATATTTATATCTCTCCCACTCAATTCCTTGAGGGCAGAGACCAGGTGTTCATCTACACAGTGTAGAGATGTTTATGACTGAATGAATGAGACAATCACTTACTACATATCTGCTACCATAAAATTCATTTCTAAGGAAGAAAGCTGAAATATTCATTCATGCCTACTTTGAAACACTAATATATAGTTCATTTAAAAATCCTGGCCCCTCTTAAATCTTCTAATCAGCACCCTCCCCTTTTTTTAACCTAACATATATTTCTGACTTCTTTTTCATAATGTATATGTTTATTTACTTATTTTATCTTTTAACCTCCCAACCTCTTAATGCTTTTTTTTTTGGCTTTGCAGGCTTTGGATGGATTTTTCTTTGTTGTGAACTGTGAAGGGAGAATTGTATTTGTGTCAGAGAATGTGACCAGCTACTTGGGTTACAATCAGGAGGAATTAATGAATACCAGTGTCTACAGCATACTGCATGTGGGGGATCATGCAGAATTTGTGAAGAATCTGCTACCAAAATCACTAGGTAAAAAGAAATTTGTTTTTTAAAAGAATACCATCTCTGCATAGCTTCTCCTTATATAATATATAAAATATGTAACAATATGTGACTGTTATATTTATAATACATATTATTTTAGTATATACTATGTTGTAATATATAATAACATATAATATATTTAAAATATTTTTGAATGTAGTTTCACCCTCACGTGTAACTATGAAGGGGAATATCATCAAATAGCTGATAGCATTCCTTTCACTTTCTTCCTCTATCTTATGCCATGATCATGTGACAGTAGTGGGAGACAAAGCAGTTAGTTGTCTGCCACAAGAAGCTTCTGCTTGAAATTCCCTTTGTTTTTAATTTTAATTATGTCCAAGAAAGAGACAAATGTATATCCTTCCCACTTCTCTTTTCAAAGAAAAAAGAAAAAGGGAGGGAGGGAGGAAGGAATATACTCTCATGTCACATACATACTAAAATTAACGTTTTTGGATGAAAGCACTTCAACTCAGGACTTCCAGGTATGATTATTCACTGCCAAGGAGCCTAGCTGAGAGGATGGATGGGGTCTGATTTCCACCCTCTATTCTATTCACTAAGCCATGTACCTTGGGGCAGGGCTGGGTGCTTAGGAGTTAGGAGACCTTTTACTAATTCTTATAAAGTCACGGATGGACTAACAGCAGCCCTTTGTTTACTTCTTGAATTTCAGGCTCCTGCTAAAGTTTTTCAGTGATCAAGTTCCACTTGCTCCTAGTGATTAGATCTCTATGTCTACATCTGAGTGGGTGTTGTATTTCAATAGTCAGTGTACAATTTGTTGGCAAATATGAAACTTTTCATATTCTCATTTCAGATTTTTTGTTCCTATTTTTTCCCATCATTTCTTTGTTCAGTGAGCTCTGAAATAAGACCAGTTTATCACACAGATAAATGTATTACACATCAGCTTTTTACACAGATACTCTGTGATAAGGTATCTAAGTTGTAGAGCTAGGAGGGTTCTAGCACACCATTTAGTATGGAACTGAGGCATGTGGTCAGGGAGGTCAAACAATGTAAGGTTCCCCTGATGTCGCTGTAGCTAATGCTTAGATTTCTTTCCCTGTCCCTGGACTCTAGATTTCTTTTGTTCTACTGTTCCACAAATTTTAAGGACTACTGATATATGGGTTTGACTGAGCTATTGCATTTTATTTTTACATTAAAAATTTTTTTTTTTAATTTTACTCTCATCTGGGGTAACAAGGTATCTGTTGGGTTTAGCAGCTTGCCTGGTTGGGAGGAGGCCTCAGGTCATAAAAAACAAGGCAGAGCTGTCTCCTGCCTCCTGAAGAAGGGGCTTATTGTTTGTGGAAGGACCACATTACCCCATCATCACCTGGTCCTCAGGCTACTGCAGATCTGTGACTATCTGTGATTCAGTTTCCCCAGGTCACTGCCAGTAGGTAAATATGGAGGGAGTGTTACCTCATAGCTGAAGTGTTGGTGATGCTGTTCCTGGCTACACAAGGGGCAGTGATCCTCTGCTGGTCTGACAGTTCATTGTTGTCTTCTCTGAGCAGCGCCCTTCCACAGTAAGGAGGAATATGAGTCTCCTGCTGCAGATATATATTTCTCTCATTCCTTCAATAATGAAAGAATAGAAACATTGAAAAAAAGTAATACCACTGCCTTTACTGTAAAATTCAATAGAGTATAGACAAGCAAAGATAGGGACAGCTCCATTGTAATAGAGTAGATCACCTAGTTTTACAGTGTCGGTTGATCATCCATTAGAATAAAGCCCACTGCACTAACTTGGAAAAGCCAATAGCTTCTTTCAAGGTATTTCCAAGAAGGTTTTAGGAAAAAATATATTGCAGTTCCTATATTTAAACCTCCATTATTAAAACAATCAAATTATTAGAGAATCAAAGAAAGAGACAAAGTAGAATAATTTTATATGTATCGTATTATCAACCTCGAATAAAATTAAATCAAGGTTCAGAAATATAAAGGAAGAAATTCGAAGAAAAAATGAAGATCATTATTTTATATGTATTCACCTTATGTACCTATATATCACTTATATACACGATTCAAAAGATTGCCTTCCTATTTCTGACTTGTTATTATCAAGGAGAAATTTTGAAGAAAAAAGTTAAAAGCCAAGCTGTTTAAAAATTGCTTTTGAATTTACTAATTTAGAAAATTTCAGTATTTGGGTTGGGCAGAGGAGAAGTGGTAGACTAATGGGTACAAAACTATGCTATCTAACATAAGTGAATCATTGTATAGTATATGCATGTATTGAAATTACACACTGTACCCCCAAAATATACACATAAATAAAACTGAAAAAAAAAAAAGATTTCCGTGTCTAAAATCCATACTTGTTAAGCATAGCATTTTATTTATAAAAAATGAAAAATCCAAACATTGGGGAGCTAGTATGGTAAGATATTTTGTCCAAAAGAACAAGTATGCATGGATATACTTGGACTTGATACAGACGGTTGTAAGAACATTATATTGGGAAAGGCTAAGGTTACAAAGGATATGTTAGTGAACATAGATTTCTTAGCAAAATTCTAACTTGAACTTGAAGTTTGAAAAAAGAAATTTTAAAAAGTTCTATTTATAAATTCATGGCATTTATATCTTAAATGCTGGGGACACCAGAGTGGTGAAGAGCACAGGCTTTTTGGTATAAAACAGACATGGATAATGCATTCTGGCTCTACTGCATTATTAGCTGTGTGACCTTGGACAAGACACTTGACCCTTCTAGGCCTCATCTTTCATCGGAAGGTTAAGGAGTAGATGGTGCTTAGCACATTTTCTGGCTGGTATTAAATTCTCTTCAACTTTTAGCTATTATTACTATTATTGGCTTTGTCTAAATGTTTTGGAGCTTTTAATTTCGTGAATGATAGATCTATAATAATGTATTATTAATAACTACTAGATGTTCTGGGTTATGTTTTTAGCTTATAAATTGATGTCAAGTAAGGACAATTTTGTCCTTTCATTTTATACTCCTTAGTTCTGTTCTGTAGAAATTACTGTGGCAAACTTTTTTTATAGATCTCATCCAGTAGGATAGTTCAGTTCTTTTTTATATCATAACTAAACTGCTACTTCCACCTAAAAAAAAAAGGCTTTTGTTATTTGTTTTGTAATACTTTGGTTTTATTTGTGTTAACAGTTGTTTTCTTTTTTTTTAATATCAGAGTGGTATTTATCCTTTTAAAGAGGAATCATGTGGTGAACTAAAGAAAGCAATTGCATGAAGATTAGGTAAAACTGCTTTCTAGCTAGATAATCTAAACTGCCCTGCTTCCACACACAAAGTATTGAGCTTTGTCAGAGCTTTATACCTCTAGTCTAGATATATCCTCTTGTTTCTGTTCAAAAGAGAGCAAAGAACATTGTATTTGTGATGCTATTATCTCTTTCCATGGAAATGTAGCTCAATACTTACTGTTTAAAAGAATATTTTGGTTCAAAAAAGTTGTAAACTCTGCCACAGTAAGTTAATTTGAATAACTTAAATGAAATCTAATTAATCGAATGAAATACAGGCGTCTAGAAAGATTACCTAAAATATTTACAAACATATATTGTAGGAGCCTATATGTTTGGACTGCCACAGTAAGTTAATTTGAATAACTTAAATGAAATCTAATTAATCGAATGAAATACAGGCATCTAGAAAGATTACCTAAAATATTTACAAACATATATTGTAGGAGCCTATATGTTTGGACGTGATCTTGCTGTTAATTAGTAGTATTAGTAGTATTTATTATTGCTCTAAGAAGATGTGATAGTTGACATGTTAATTGTCACCAAAATTACTTGTTTTAGTTGTGGTGATCAACTCTGAACTTTTTTTTTTTTTTGACTTCTCAAAAAGTTTTTCTTACAGTTTAGGTATAATGACTCCTATAGCAGGTCATGAAATTAAACTTCAAAGAAGTGCCTTACTCCTCCTCAGTACTCTCTGTTCTTCTCTTGTCTCTTTTGCCTACCCTGACTCCTAACCACCTCTCTGCCCCTTTTTGTTTCAACATCCTCTTTCCTTTTGCCAGAACTGAGTGTAATTAGATATTTAGTTGAATTTCCTCTAGCAACATTTAGCAAGATGCTTTCTTTGCAAATACCTTCAGAAAGTTGAATTTGTACCTTATAACTGAGTAGATTAGGGTAAACATCATTCAAGCCAAGCTATAAACAAAAATTTAAAACAAACCATTTTTTTATCAAAGGGTCTATTTACTTTAGTTGGACAAGATGCTTTCTTTGCAAATACCTTCAGAAAGTTGAATTTGTACCTTATAACTGAGTAGATGAGGGTAAACATCATTCAAGCCAAGCTATAAACAAAAATTTAAAACAAACCATTTTTTTATCAAAGGGTCTATTTACTTTAGTTGGAGAATTTTACTGAGACTTAGACAACTTAATCAGTTTATCCAGTACACAAGAGAATTCTAAAAATGAATAAATATGCTAATTTTTACATTTCCTCCCCTCCCCTTTTCCTTCCACTTTTTGGCATATGTGCTCTAAAAGTGGAGTGGGGGTGGGGGTGGGGGTGGGAAGCTTTGGCCAGAAATCCTATATAAACTAATTCTGACATGCATATAAAATGTTATCTATAGCTCTTTGTTTTCCACATTGTTCCCTCAGTGGAATAGAAACTTATTTCTTCTCTGAGAAGAGTAGTATGTCTTTCTAGTAACTGGGGACCTGAAACAATTGTGTCTACTAAAATCACTGTTTTGATATTTGAATTATAGTGTCAAAAGATCTTATGTGTTTTATTATAGAATTTTAGAGTGTAAATGACTTTAGAGATAATGAGGTGGATCTCTTTATTTTAAAGATGGGCAACTAAGAATCAGGATTAATTAATCCAAAACTCACAGCTAGCTAATAGCAGAATCCAAAACTACTTACTCCATTTTAATCTTGTTTCCCTGATTTCTTCTAACAGTGTAGAGTGATGAGATGGAAAAAGGGAAAAAGGGTCAATGGATAGTATAAGGTAAGAAAACATTTAGGAATGGTGAGAGAGCAGCCTTAAAAATCCTCTGATTACCTCAGGACCACCATGGTTTGAATATGACACTGTGACTAGGAAATCATGACCCACCATACCACATTGATTCTTACCTGAAATATACAGGCATCTTTTCTATAACTGCATCCAATTTTCTTATACTGAATGAGGTAACATTTCTTTTTTATCAATCTTTGTTATGTAACAACTCATCCACTGCATTTAAGGCATTGTAGCATATGAACTATGCTAGTTAAATAAATTAAAGCACAAAAGAAAATGGTTACATTTTCCAAATGTATGAATTTTCATAAACCAAGATTGCTCTCTACCTAGTCTAAATATTTTTTGAGTCACAGATTCCTTTGAGAAACTTGAATCTTTTCCCCAAAAAGATGCACACATGTACAAATCCTATCCTTAAGAATCTAAGATTGCCACGTTAAAACCCCTACTTAACAATGTCCCAGTGGTTTTAAATCATTTTTTCATGACAAAGTATAACTGGAAACAACAGAAAAGCTCATTGATTAACAGCTGTAAAATTCTGAGGAAAAATAGTAAGTTTTAATTTTGTCTTTTTTTATAAGTACGGCTAATGAATTAGGGTATTTGAGGAGGGATATCTTGTACATTTTCTTGGAAGTGTTACAATCTTCTAATTGGTAGACATTTAGATTTGCTAAAGAACATAAGTATCGTGTTGCCTGAAGATAATATTAGATCTGAAGGAGTCTGTTCTTTAATCTGAGTATCTAATTGAGCAGACGGCTTAAAGTATGTCTTTTCTGTCTTTGGAGTTTGTACTTTTTTGCCTTATTGATAGACACATAATCAATTTTTCTTCCCCAGTCAATGGAGTTCCTTGGCCTCAGGAGGCAACAAGACGAAATAGCCATACCTTTAACTGCAGGATGCTAATTCACCCTCCAGATGAGCCAGGTGCCGAGAACCAAGAAGCTTGCCAGCGGTATGAAGTAATGCAGTGTTTCACTGTGTCACAGCCAAAATCAATTCAAGAGGATGGAGAAGGTAAAGCAAAGGATCATTTTAAAGTGTTTGCTTTTTCTATGACCTTAAGAAATAGGGAGGTAATCAATTATAACCTGCCTTTTTTGGTTAGTATTTTTGATTATTATATTGCACATCATAATAGCTACTCAATTTACTATGTATTTCTTATTACTTTTTAAAAAAATTACTAACATGTAGAATCACCCCTTTAATATGCCCCCAATTCTGTTTTAAGCTGGCATTCCCACAAAATGTCAAATAATTCAAACCAACTTGCTGTCTAGAAATAAGAGATGTAACTAACTGCTGCCACTTGGAAATGTACTAGATGCAGCAGGCTGTTAAACAGCTTTGATTTTTAGAAAGTTCAAGTTTACAGTGTAGGGAACGTTGGAGAATAGAGTTGGCATTTTTCAGGCTATACAAGGTAATTTATAAAGAGAAAACTTGTGAACAGATGAAAACATAGCTGAAGCTCTGATATGAACATGATAACATGGAATTAGTTAAATATGTGACAGTGGGTAAGTTTTCCATGTACACTTAGACTGAGCTAAGTTTAGGAATACCACAAATTGGGAACTAGAGTAAGGACCAGGGAAGGTAGTAGACAAGATGTTGGTCAGCTGCAAAAAAGGCCAGGTATGTAGCAGGTCTCACCGTGAAATGGAGGTCACAATCAACTGGGGACTTTTCACAAAATACACCTACCTGCCCAAGTCTTTTATGATTAAAGTTCATTTTTAGCTGCGTGATATAGTGTGTAACACCCTCAAAACAAAATTTTGGAATGGGACTTCAAAAAACTTGTGTGTCCTTCGAAACATAAAGTCCTCTATTAAGAGCAAAATAATACTTCTTCAGAAGTTAAAGGTTGCTTTTCTCTTATGATAATTATTATCTGCACAGGGGTTATAAGAATAATCTTTGTAGCCATAAGTACTGATGAGTATAGTAAATTGCCTACAAAACTCTATTTTAAAAAACATTGTGTTGCTTAAATCTAACCCAAACTCCTGTTTCTAGTTGTTGTTATCTGAGTACATGAGAGGCACGTGTCTCCTCTAGTTTGCGTAAGAGCATTCAGTGGGAAGGAATAATTTATGCTAACTAGCTCTCTACCTGTAGCTGCCAGTTTTTGGTTGCCAACAACTTTATTTTATTTTTATTTATTTATTTTTTTTCCTTTTTGTCTTTTTTTGTGACCGGCAATGGATCGCAACCCTCAGTGTCGCGCCCGTACCGGATCGGGACCGGCAACGGGATCGCAACCCTCGGTGTTGCGCCCGCACCTCGCTCAGCCAGTGAGCGGCCGGTTTGTACGTGGGATCCGAACCCTCGGTGGGAGTGCTGTCGCACTCCCAAGCGGCGCACTGTAGAAGTGCGCCACCGGGCCAGCCCTAACAACTTTATTTTTAATATACTAGTAGATCAGAGTGATTCCAATATTATGTTAGGTCCTGTAACATGTATTTGTAAAAACTGTTAATGGCAATTGATATATGTAAGCCATTTTCTACCCTCTTTCTTTCAATTTCCCCTTCTTGTTTTGGACAGATTTTCAGTCATGTTTGATTTGTATTGCACGGCGATTACCTCGGCCTCCAGCTATTACGGGTGTAGAGTCCTTTATGACTAAGCAAGATACTACAGGTACTAACCGTAAAGTTCATAATGTTACATAGTTAATAATGTGACTATGCCCATAAAACTAATTATATCCAAAATGTTATGTCCCCCTCTTCTATGATATTCAGCCTCTGCTCACTAGTCTTATATAGGAAACATTTTAAATGGTGGTCTTGATATTGTACATTTTATTATTATTATTATTTTTTTTTTTTTTGTCTTTTTCCGTGTCCGGCAACGGTTCGCAACCCTCAGTGTCGCCCCCGCACCGGACCGGGACCGGCAACGGGATCGCAACCCTCAGTGTTGCCCCCGCGCCTCGCTCAGCCAGTGAGCGGGAACCGGTCTGTATGTGGGGTGTGACTATGGGATTGCATAAAAACTATAATAAAACAGGTCTGAATAATCACAAACTAGATTAACTGGCCCCTGATTAATTGAGAAGTAACTTTACCTGAATTCTCTCATAGCCATTTACGAAATTTGGTCAAACACCAAATAATAATAATAATAGCAAATTACCAGTAAATTTTATAAAGCATATGTTCTGTATGCACAATGCCTAGTAGATCGTAATGTTTTCACTTATCTTTTTCTGATTTAACTTTTCTTCCTTCAGTCTTTTTCTTAAATGCAGTATTGCCTACAGCCCAATAGGAGGTAGATAGGGAAAGGCTTGCTTACTTTCTTATATTCTCTGCACTTCATTATTGGAAATTAATTTAAACAAAAACAATATATTTCATTTCTGCCTCTCCTTCCCCAGTAAGTGATCCATTCGGTCATCAGTACATAGAGAGTAGGATCCAAAATGTGAGCCAGAGGAGTTTGACTGCATTAGTGTCAGCAGCTCAAGTTGTTATGGTGTGACTTTAATACTTGACTGGAATTGAATTTTAGAATATGACATACTAGTACATAACACACTCCAAGACCAAAACAATTTTTTATCATGTCACTAATATACTCCATTACTATATGTGATAAAAATGGTGCTTTTTCATGCTTTTGTCTATTGAGCATTTGGAGGGAAAGAATATTCCTTAGGAGCAGTTGTTGATTTTGAAATATAGTTGATTTATATCAAGAGGCTATCATAATTGTAAACTTTTATTCTTTGTATAGGTAAAATCATCTCTATTGATACTAGTTCTCTGAGAGCTGCTGGCAGAACTGGCTGGGAAGATTTAGTGAGAAAGTGCATTTATGCTTTTTTCCAACCTCAGGGCAGAGAGCCATCTTATGCCAGACAACTGTTTCAAGAAGGTAAAATTTTCTCTCTCAGTTACTTCCATTAACTTTATTAATACTGAATAGTTTGTATAGAATTTATGGCTTGATAAGTATTTTCTCCAAATTACCATTTTTACAATAATCAGTTCTGGGAAAGGAAGAAATGGGTAAGCAAAGTAATTCATGAGTGGATCCGGAAATTTGGGATTGCACATTCTAAAGAACAGGACGTCATGTGGTGATCACTCATTCATTCATCCATTCATTCAGCAGACATGTGTCAAGTTCTTAACATACATCGAACACTGTATAAGGCTCCAAGATACAGAGATGACTAAGTAGCAGAGTTTGCCTTTAAGGAGCTCATTATACATTAGGAGAATATATGACAACTCTAAAGATAAACATAACATGGGCTATAATAGAGGTATAATCAAAGATGAAAAAAATTAATTGTGATTTGGGAAGTCAAGGATGACTTCAGAGAGGAAGTGGTATTTTGTCTAGCTCTTGAAGATTCCCAGCAAAACAAGCATATCAAAGTGTTTCTGGATAATACAGAGATCAATATCATGTGTGTTTACTTCATGATTGTTGTCAGCACCATGCTCAACCAGTGAGCAAACCGGCCATCCCTATATGGGATCCGAACCCGTGGCCTTGGTGTTATCAGCACCGCACTCTCCCAAGTGAGCCACAGGCGGGCCCCTTACTTCATGATTGTTGTAGCACTTGTATCTTCTGATTCAGGTTGACTTTTCAAGTCAAAAAATATGTCTTATGAAACTATTAATTATTGGATAGCTGCTGTGTCTTAGTAAGTACTGTGGGAGTATAAAACAAGTATATTCCCTGCCCTTAAGGAATTTAACAGTATTATAGGAAAGGTAAGGAAAGTTATTTGAGAGTTACGGCCAGAAATTTAACAGATGTTCAGATTTAAGGGATTTTGATGTCCTTTAAAAATATTGTTATATTATTATTTTAGCCTAATATTCCATTCCAATGTAATTTATTCTCTAATCTCTAATTAGTTTCTTTGTTAAGAGGCTCTTTCTATTGCTCTTACTGAAAAATAGTTTAAAAATATTTTTTGTTATTCTGTCATTCTTAATTTTAACATTTTCCCATAACATTAGATTTTCTTCATTTACAGATGATTTTCCATTCATTACATTTTAGGTCAACTACTTCCTAGTAGTATGTGAAAGAAATAGCTTGATTTTTTTTTCAGGAAGCCATATATATAAATCTCACAGTCCTGGTTACTTCTGGGCCAGCTGCCTACAAACTTATGGTTCTGCAGTGGTATCCTTACTAGACTCTTGCTACCCCCAAGATTGTATTTCACTGGGTACAGCCAAGTATTTTTTTAAAGCTCCCCAGGCAATCCTGAAGTGCAGCCAGGTGGAAACCATTACAATAAGTAACCAGTGCCATCCATGAGGTGTGAACTTTGTGACTTCCTCTACCAAGAATGGCACTTGACTTTTGCATAGGTTTGGGACTCAGAGCACTGTCTCCACTCACTGACTTAAGTGCTAAAGTATATGGTACTCTTTGATCTTTGCCTTAAGTTTATAAGTTGGACCTCCCAAGTCTTAACTTAAAAGACTTAATTTTATTTGCCTGTAATTTATATACATTTCCACCAAGGCAAAGCAGGTGTAGATTATTGTCTCATCATTCAAATGACTAGTCTTCCCATAGATGTGACTAAGCGACCATTTAAGGTGTCTGTTTCTAAATTATCAGAATTCTCCACAAAATAGATTGGTTAAAAATATAATTAGTAAATAATCTGTCATTAATATATAAGCCGAAAAAATAGAGTAAAATGTGAAGAAATATAATTCCCATTAGTCATTTCTTAATGTCTTCTCCTTCCACTTTTTTTAGAAAAAAAAATTCCTCAATAGAAATAATTTGTATTTTTCTTAGAATTAAGTTGTCCGGATTTCACATAACTCCGATTCTAGTGTTTTGGAAATTCAGGACAATTTGCCAAACAGCTTTCATGGATTGAGCACATCTTTTCCTCGTAGTTTATATTCAGCAATATCCAGCCCGGTAAAAGAAAATGTGGTCGGTGAAACACTTACTTGAGAATCACCTGTTAAAGATGCTGACCTGCTGAATTAAAATCTCAGAAGAGGGCCCAGATATCTTAACAAGCCTCGAAGGTAGTGCTTTCGTTTGAGAAACAGTGGTCTGTAAAGAATAGAGGAAGATGTCACTTGGATTTGCGGCTTCCTTGCTGCCTCTTACTCAGGGACAATGTATACAGAGTGAGACAAATTATGCCGCTATATCCTTGATTTTGTGTAAAGCTTTACAGTGATTGATATTTAGACAAGAAATCCTCCATCTGTCCTCTTTTTTCCTGCCCATTAACTTACTCTTTCAAGGCAGCAGATGGGATAAAAATCCTAATATGCATCAAAGATTTTAGTTCTGGGCCGGCCCGGTGGCGCACTGGATAGTGCGCCGCTTGGGAAGCGCGGCGGCGCTCCCGCCCGAGGGTTCGGATCCCACATACGGACCGGTTCCCGCTCACTGGCTGAGCGAGGTGCGGGAGCAACGCCGAGAGTTGCAATTCCGTTGCCGGTCCCCGGTCCGGTACGGGGGCAACACTGAGGGTTGCGATCCATTGCCGGACACGAAAAAAATCAAAAAGAAAAAAAAAAAAAAAGATTTTAGTTCTGGGCCGGCCCGGGGGCGCACTGGATAGTGCGCCGCTTGGGAAGCGCGGCGGCGCTCCCGCCCGAGGGTTCGGATCCCACATACGGACCGGTTCCCGCTCACTGGCTGAGGGAGGGGCGGGAGCAACGCCGAGCGTTGCAATTCCGTTGCCGGTCCCCGGTCCGGTACGGGGGCAACACTGAGGGTTGCGATCCATTGCCGGACACGTAAAAAGTCAAAAAGACAAAAAAAAAAAAAAAAAAAGATTTTAGTTCTAACTTAGTTTTTCAGCAGCTTTTGACAGAGACAACTCATGAACTGCTTTTAAAGGGAGCTTACTGTTTTATGTTCTGGAGTCAAATTTGAAAATGCATATCAGAGGGTACTTCAAAAAGTTCGTGGAAAAATAGAATTAAAAGATAATATGAATCTTTCTATGAATTTTTTGAAGTACCCCAATATGTAGGAGTACTCAGTATGGACTAGCTTAGAGCCATGGTTCTACACTGAGGAAATGGGTATAAAGATTCCTTGAGGAACTTTTTAAACTAGGAAAAGGTCCACGCAACTGGTTTGGAAAAGGTTCCTAGGTTTTGTTCAATTCAGAATCATTACTTTAAAGAAAGACCTAGGTTGTAATGCTTCCCAATGTCCCTGAGAAGATAGATTCATCTAGGGCAGTTGTTAAATCAGTTATCTGGACCCAACCCCACACTACTGAATCAGAGTCTATAGTCTCAGATGTTGTCTTAAAAAGAAGCTTGGAAACATAAACCTAGGTTCCACAGGACATTAATAGACATAACTAGGAAATGATGTCTTATGCTTAAAGTTTGGGTAATGCTTCAGTCTCCCACTTCTGGGGATTCATAAAACGTATTTAAGATATTTAAGTTTCTGAGAAGTTGTACAGTAAAGATATCTTTTAAACTTTGTTACCCAGACTTATTTTTCCACAGAGTTTTTTTTTACTATAGCTCATCTAGCAGCAGTTAGGGAAAGTAGTAGTCATGGGAAATGCTGGACTACATAGCCTAGAAACTAGTTTTATGAAGATTCTACTTACCTATTTACAGTGATGTAATGGATCATTTCTTGTCTTTGAAATGTCCATGATAGGGCCGAGCCTGTTCCGCACTCGGGAGAGTGTGGCGCTGGGAGCGCAGCAGCGCTCCTGCCGTGGGTTCGGATCCTATATAGGGATGACCGGTGCGCTCACAGCACTCACTGGCTGAGCGCGGTGCGGCCGGTCTCAAAAAGGACAAAAAAAAAAAAAAAAAGAAAGAAATGTCCATGATATATAGTTATAATAAAAAGTAGGCTAGGAAAGCACAGCATTTATAGTACAATCTCACTCTTGTATATATTTCTGTTTATCAAATTCTAGAAGATTAACAAAATGTTAACAGTAGTTATCTCTGAGGGATAGGATTACAAATGACTTTACTTATTCTTTATCTCTCTATTATTTTAACTTTATAATCACAAAATAAAGCTATTCTAATTTTTTAAAAAATAGCATTAGTCAGAGTTGGAAAGGGGTTTATAGTACAAGAACTTTGGAAGCATTGCTATAAAACATAAGTACCCATGTTAATGATTAACCAGAATGTTCTTTGAGACTTGTGTAAAGGGGTTAATTCCAGTCCACATAACAGAGTTAACTGAAAATCTTTTTATGTCAAATTTTGTTGAACATATTTAAAATACAAGTTTACTTTCCTCTTATAGAAAATTTAATATACTAAATAGAGTTTATTCATTGGTGATTGAAAATCTTAGAACACCTAGGGGTAATTTTTTTTCTTTACCTAATAAGAATTTTTTGGTTTTTTTTATTGCATTCTTTCTGCATGTATCTAGGGAAATGCCAAAAAAGAAAAAGAAAAAGAAAGAAAAGAAAAGAAATTTCTGTCAGCATTAACCTGTAGTACCTGGCCACACATTTTATACCTGCCCATTTGGTTAACATCAGTAAGACATGCTTGTTTGAGATTATCTCAGCACCAAATTGGGAGGGATCAAAAACCCAAATAGCTCTACTTCTACAGATGCTGTGACCAGGGAAAATTTGATGTTTTTTGCTTGGTTGCTCTGCCGAGGCTTATTCTAAGGAGAAAAAACAAAACAAAACAGTTGTGTTAAAGGTTCTATGGAGGATTTCTGGGGTGTCAGTAATACTCCTTCAATATTATCCATTCCCACTAAACATTCTAAAACGTTTAGAAGTGGATCAAAATGCTAGCTGTATAGCTGGCAGATCTAGATCAGAAAACAAGGCCAGGACTTGTGATCAAAATGGGATTCCAAAACTAAACCTTGAAACCCACTTAGGGGAAAATTTGGTGTGCAGAGCAGATGTTTATCCAACCAATGCCGTTAAAGTATTGTGGCTACCTTACTTAACTCTTTGTTCAAAATATCAGGGATTGTTATAAAGGAGTGAAGCTACAGGCATAAATGGTGTCTAGGAATTGACTGAATGTAGTATATGACGTAGGTTATATGTACTTTAGAAGCTGTTATTCTTTCTTTTTTCTTAGTGTTTATTCAGGGACTATTCATTCAATACCTGCTATATGCTAGGCTTCATGGTTGATGCTATCTCACAATATTGCTGGCTCCATTTTAGTGATGAGTAAATCGAGATGGGCCAACATTAATTTGCATTAAGTCCTAAACTTGTAAGTGACAACATCAGAAGTCAAGCTTGAATCTGACTCCTAGGTTCTTATTCTCTTCATTGATCCATGCTGCCTTCCTGTTTACCTCTTCATCTGAATGATTATCCACTAGAATTTTAGTTAGCTGGAGAGTCTTATTGAGTTCTAATTAATTGAAGTTTTGCTGTATTAAATTTTTCTCATTTGAAAGAATGGCTGTGTGAATTATAATGTGGTGAGTCTTATTCCACACATTGTCATCCAAAATAAATAATCTAACTTCAAATCTTAAAGTGTGATAATTTTCTTGTGTTAAATTATTAGGGTTCCCTACATTTCAGAATTTTTACTAGTTTAGATATAGTCTTACAAGTTTAGACATCATAATTAACCAAAAGACATGGATGTTTCCATAATCAGCATTAAATATCTTAATGTTCCCATGTTAGCCTGAGTTTCTGTTCTTTCTTATATTATTGGGCTCGTCAATAAATCAAGGAATTTCTCTTCATTAATTTCCATTGTAAAAGTAAGTCTAGATTCTTATAAGAGCAGAAACATAAATTGAGATATAAGTATTTAAGAACATAGCTAAGAATGGAAATCTGTTCTTTAAAGAAAAATAATGGCAGTTGATAACAAGTCAATATTAATCTAGTTAGATGAGATTCAAATTGAGGATCAATCAGCCAGTACTTACTGGATGATTTTTTTGTAAAGATTTGATGGAGAGTGGAAAACAAGAATAGGACACAGTATCAGCCCTTATGTTATTCTAGCTAAAGCAGAAAAATAAATGTGTAAAAGTTATTTAACTCCTATTTAAAGAGATACAGAAGAAATGTTTAGGAAATAATAAGTAATAAGGTTGCAAATGCAAGTTGAAGTCAGATTGGAGCTGTGCTGTCCAATATGATAGCCACTAGTCACATGTGGCTATTGAGTACTTAAAATGTAGCCTGTGTGGCTGAGGAACTGAATTTCAAATTTTATTTAATTTTAAATGTAAATAGCCACATGTACCTAGCTGGTAGTTACCATATTGGACAATGCAGCTACATAGTGAACAGGAAGTGAGTGTTTTCCAGCAGAATGAAGCCATCCTGAAGAGCAATCAATAATGATGAGGAAATGGATAAAATGCCATAAGCAAAATAACGTGAAATATCTTGCCTGTCTTGTCTGTCCCTTTCTACTTCTTTAACTTTATCATCCCAAGGTAATCATTTATTTTAAAATGCCACTTTGTGGTTGAAGTTGTATTTTCCAAAATATATTGTTAAAAAATATTAACAATTGGCATTGTTAATATATTTTTAGGATTTACTATAGCAAACATTTACTTATATCCTTCTACAAAAATTATCAGTGTCCATTAAGGACTCATTTTCATCCTTTATTATTTCATTAGGTACTAAATTTCTTCATGCATTACATTTGGTAAATGTGCCAATGATTCAGCTAGATAGGTAAGGAATATGGTTGGTTGGGTTTAAGTCTTAATCATTTCAATTAAGTTTATATCCTGGTTTTGGTACTTAAGCAGATTTATTATGGCATAGATTTACAACAGACTACAAAGGTACTTCAAAAAACTCATGGGAAGATTCATATTATCTTTTAATTCTCTTTTTTCACAAACTTTTTGAGGTACCCTTGTATGCTTTCTTCAGTTGTACTGTATACACAAGATAATAAACTAGAGCATGTCTTTCTCTTTATTTCAAGTAATACGGAGCTTCAGATGTATTTATTAACTGGCCATTTTAAGTCTCTTTCACATGTCCTTTAAAATGTAACTGAAGCCCTTTCTGAAATGTTTGAAAAATAGGACTAATAATAATAGTGGTTTGTGGTAGTAATTCTTGTGTTACAATGGATATGATTTTTAATTTTGATATAGCTGAATCTATTAAAACTTTCCTAAAATAGAATACTATTTGTATTGCTAAAACATCAATGACATTATGTTACTTAGTAGTCTGGTACAGCCCTTACATATTAATAAACACTATTTGGTTAGGATTTTCTGTGCTGGGCTTTAGTAAAGATTAGCAAAGCTTTAAGACAAAAGTAAATTATGTTGTTTATAAAGTGATTCGACTGCCTTAACTTGGTTTTTGTTCCTTATGTAAGCCATTATTGGCTTTATCTTAATTCACTTACTAAACTTCAAAATTTCAAACATTAAAAATAATATGTATACATATGAATATAATAATTTATCAAATGGGACCTTAGTGATTCACATTCCTGAGTGAAAAATTAAATATGAATATTAGCTAAGGAACTCTGTAAACCATTCAAAACTTAGAGGGTGAATTTTATGGTATATGGTTATATATCAAGAAAGCTATTACAATCAGCCAGCAAAAGGAAAACAAAACAAAATAAAACTTGTTAAACATAATACAGAAAGTGAGGGGAGAAAATTACTTCTTCTTATTTTTAATGGAGACTTAATAAATTTAAAGAGCCGCCCCATTATAGGGAAAGATTATGGTTGACATTTTCCGGGTTTGGAATTTCTTCATAATCATAACTTATGTGAGGAGACACCCATTCAAGCAGGACTAAGTTAAAACCTGTCATCAAGTGGTACATTTCAATTGGAATCATTTTTCCCCCTCCGATATCTGCTAAAGATTATGGTTGACATTTTCCGGGTTTGGAATTTCTTCATAATCATAACTTATGTGAGGAGGCACCCATTCAAGCAGGACTAAGTTAAAACCTGTCATCAAGTGGTACATTTCAATTGGAATCATTTTTCCCCCTCCGATATCTGCTATGTTTGAACTATTCTTTGAGTCTGAATGCAGTTTGGGAGGGCATTTAAAATGAATTTGTAGGTAGAAATAAGGCTGATAACTCTCCTTTGCCCAATGTACAAGTGTCAGAATTTTAACTAGGTTTCTTTTTTGTTTGAAACAGTGATGACTCATGGCACTGCCTCCAGCCCATCCTATAGATTCATACTGAATGATGGGACAATGCTTAGCGCCCACACCAAGTGTAAACTTTGCTACCCTCAAAGTCCAGACATGCAACCTTTCATCATGGGAATTCATATCATCGACAGGTACTACTTATTTGGAGAGCTTCATATGAAATAAGTCAGTAGACATATCTCTTCTTAGAGAAAAGTTTTATACTCTTGATGACTAGAAAACAAATTCTAAATTGGGCATAAAACTAGTGTGATGAGTATATAATCAGTATATTTGTATTGGGTTTTGTAGTTTGTCTCCTATGCAGACTTTGTTGTACATAAAAGGAGACAGGAAAGGTGAGGCTGAAAATATGTAAAACCAAAAAGGTGGCTAAAAACTTACGATTTTCCATATATGAGCTTATAGGCTTATCAGCGATTTTAGAATTTGTTAACATTGTTGTTTTTATTTTTAAAAGTGCTTTAGTTTCATTAGGGCAAACTTGATGGCTTCTGAGTTCAAGTTGACAGTTTCTCACAAAAACTACAAATCATTAAACTATCAACTTGAGATTTTTGAATGCCATTGCCTCTAATTTGTTCCTCTCTCTAAATATGTTTTGCATTGATATACATGGTAAATTTATGGAACTATTCTTGTATGTTATGACTTATGCAAAGTCCTGTATTTATAACTGTTTAAAATTTAACATTAAAGACGACATTTCCCCTCACTTCATCTTTTCCCCATCTAATGCATTTGCTTATTGGAACATGGTAATACCAGTCACAAATCTGTTGTCATAATTATGAATTTGAGTAAAGAACTAAGTTGAAACCTAAATTCAATATTCTACGTTTTTTTCTAATTTTAGTTTAAATTTTGCTTGTGAGTGGAATTAACACAGTTCTTTTTTTCATTTTGTGATTTCTCTTTCAAAACATCTGCTATGTCTACATATCACCCTTTTTAATTTTTACATCAGTGACACAGTATTTTCCTTACCCACTCTTCCTCTTTGGAATAGTTAAAACCTGTAATAGGGGAGTCATGAATAAGTCCTTTATAAATAGAGGTGTGGGAAGTTTCTCTTTCAACTAAAAGTATTATAGTAATGTTAATTGTTTGTATTAAGTTTAGAGAAGTTTAAGAGTACATATACTGGATTTTTTCCAAGGCCAAGAAAAAATTTTTTTATATAACTGAGACCATTATTATCAAATTTAAGGGTCCATAAGCACTATTTCTTATTAAATGATGCTAATATTTCACAGTGGAACTAACAATCCACTGTTTTTCCTTAATTTAAGGTGATATAGAAGCTCTTTACTTGATAGCTTGCTATATTAATGAGGTTAATGGTCTTGTTTTATAAGGTGCATCATGAAAATATTTTAGTGGAAACAAATGAAGATGTTTGAATAATAATGTCTTTTCCCCCCTAGGGAACACAGTGGGCTTTCTCCTCAAGATGACACTAATTCTGGAATATCAATTCCCCGAGTAAACCCCTCGGTCAATCCTAGTATCTCTCCAGCTCATGGTGTGGCCCGTTCATCCACACTGCCACCATCCAACAGCAACATGGTATCCACCAGAGTAAACCGCCAACAGAGCTCAGACCTTCATAGCAGCAGTCATAGTAATTCTAGTAACAGCCAAGGGAGTTTTGGATGCTCACCTGGAAATCAGATTGTAGCCAGTGTTGCCTTAAACCAGGGACAGGCCAGTTCCCAAAGCAGTAATCCCTCGCTAAACCTCAATAATTCTCCTATGGAAGGTACAGGAATATCCCTAGCACAGTTCATGTCTCCAAGGAGACAGGTCACTTCTGGATTGGCAGCAAGGCCTAGGTTGCCAAACAATTCATTTCCTCCAAATATTCCAACATTAAGCTCTCCCATTGGCATGACAAGTGGTGCCTGTAATAACCCTAACCGATCTTATTCAAATATCCCAGTAACCTCTTTACAGGGTATGAATGAAGGACCCAATAACTCTGTTGGCTTCTCTGCCAATTCTCCAGTCCTTAGGCAGATGAGCTCACAGAATTCACCTAGCAGATTAAATATACAGCCAGCGAAAGCTGAGTCCAAAGATAACAAAGAGATTGCATCCATTTTAAATGAAATGATTCAATCTGACAACAGCTCTAGTGATGGCAAACCACTGGATTCAGGGATCCTGCATAACAATAGCAGACTCTCCGATGGAGACAATAAATACTCTCAAACCAGTCACAAACTAGTACAGCTTTTGACAACAACTGCAGAACAGCAGTTACGGCATGCTGATATAGACACAAGCTGCAAAGATGTACTGTCTTGCACAGGCACTTCCAACTCTGCCTCTGCTAACTCTTCAGGAGGTTCTTGCCCCTCCTCTCATAGCTCACTGACGGAGCGGCACAAAATCCTACACCGGCTGTTACAAGAGGGTAGCCCCTCAGATATCACCACTTTGTCTGTCGAGCCTGATAAAAAGGACAGTGCATCTACTTCTGTGTCAGTGACTGGACAGGTACAAGGGAACTCCAGTATAAAACTAGAACTGGATGCTTCAAAGAAAAAAGAATCAAAAGACCATCAGCTCCTACGCTACCTTTTAGATAAAGATGAGAAAGATTTAAGATCAACTCCAAACCTGAGCCTGGATGATGTAAAGGTGAAAGTGGAAAAGAAAGAACAGATGGATCCTTGTAACACAAACCCAACCCCAGTGACCAAACCTGCTCCTGAGGAAATTAAACTCGAGTCCCAGAGCCAGGTGGGTAATTCCTTGCTTTACAGAATGATTACTCCTAGTTACCTTTTCTATTCTATTTATTCTACTCCAGCCATAGACCAGATTGGATTTAAACTATGTTTTATCCTATCCATTGGATGTATATATTAAGAGGTAAGTGGTTGCAAAATCACAGGATGCCTTCAGAAGTTCTCTTTAAAACTTTAGAGGGCTACAGTGTTAATGTGGTATTCTGAAAAATAGATTTTTCTTTTCTTTTTTTTTCTATAAAATCAGAGTTCACATCTTTGGAGATTTTCAGAAATTACTTCCCTGCCCCCTTCTCCCAGCCCCACCTATTTGAATTCAATTCTCTGAAATTAGAACCTAAGAATCTGTATTTTAAAGAGGCTCCCCAGAGAACTCTGATGTGTAGCTAAGTTTGGGAACCTCTGGTATAAATGAAGTAGGAGAGAAATTTGAGGAAGTAGACAAGGCAACCTAGTCTGACTTGATTTTTATTTTCTTTGAAGCCTTTTCTAAGGCTGTTTTTGTTCTCATCTAATTCTTACCATCCTCAACCCCCATCAGAGAACAGGGACTTGAATATTCTGGGTAGAAAAATATTACCTTTACATAACACACCCTAAAACAGAAGTAAATAAAAATAAACCTTTCTACAAATTGTTATGGATTCAGAACCTCTATATTTAGGATGGGGTGGGGGTGGGTGGAAATTAACAGTCAGCTTCATTTATTGAATAATTGTGGACTCTGAAGGAATATAAGAAAAACAAAAAATACAGTCCCTCCCCTCTAGGAGCTTTCACATTATTTAGAGTTAGAATATAGACATTCATGAAATAGCTGACAATGTATTTACAAAGCAGTTTATCAACAAGACTTCTCCATTGTGAAGCAAGATTCACACTTAGTAGGAATAGGTCTTTCGGTTTCTTGACCCAGCTTGATTTTCTGCCCTCATCTCACAAGTCTCTCTCTTCCCTCAGGCCTGCTGCTTTCTAGGCAGATGAAGGTCCTTGCCATTCCTGGGATAAGCCATGTCTCTCCTAAGCATCTTCTACCTTGCTCTTCTTTCTGTGCCTGCTGAACTTCTACTGATCCTTCACAAACCAAGTCACATAGCATCTCCATAATGCCATCCCCACATAGCCCTAGTTAGACACTTCCTTCCTCTCTACTCTCACAGTGCTTTCTATTGTCTCTATTTACTGTTTGTAGTAACACTGTTTTGATTGTTTCTTCATCTGTGTGCTCTTTGCAAATCAGGCTGTGTGTCTCATGTTTCTTGGTACAACAAAACTAATACTGTTTTTTTTAAACAGAAAAACAGTTTTAAATAATAAGTACAGTTTATTATAACTCTCTTTAATTAACTTTAAAAGTAATAGCTTTATAAAACAATGTCACGTGTATAGTCCTGTTGCATGTGTTTTAGTGCACAGGTGCATACATTTCTGTCAAGTTTATACCTAGGAGTAGAACTGTGGGATCATAAGATATGGGTATATTTATCTTTAGTAGATAATGCCAGTTTTTCTAATGCATGAGAATTCCTTGTTTTTGTTCTTTGTCCTTTTTAATTCTGGTATTGTCAGTCTTTTAAATTTTAGCCATTCTTGGGTATGTGTATAGTATCTCTTAGTTTTAATTTACATTTCCCTGGTAAATGTTCAGTTGTCATCTGGATATCTTCATTTGTAAATTGCCTAGTCTACTCTCTTGCCCATTTTTTTAATGTGTTGCTTTTGCTTATTGACTTGTAAGAGTTTTTTATGTATTTTGGGTATGTGTTCTTTATTGGTTTTATACAGTCATGCACCACATAATAACTACATTTTGGTCAACGACAGACTACATATATGACGGCCATAAAATTATAATGGCCATATAACTTAGGTGTGCAATAGGCTATACAATCTAGGTTTGTGTAAGTACGCTCTATGATGTTCACACAATGATGAAATCACCAAATGACACATTTCTCAGAACATATCCCCATCATTAAGCAACGCATGACTGTACGAGTATTTGCAGATCTCTTCTCCATGCTGTGTCTTGCCTTTTCTTTCTCCTAATGGTGCTTTTGATTAAGTGAAGTTCTTTATTTTAATATAGTTCAATTTGTCGATCTTTCTCTTTATGATTAATGCTTTTTGCAAATGTGTAGCAAAAGACATGTTCAAAAATGTTTACAGCAGCTTTATTTGAATTAGCTAAAAACTGGAAACAACCCCAAAATCCATTACAGTAGAATAATTATATTTTGACATATTCATGCAATAGGATACTATTCAGCAATGAAAATGAATGAACTATTGCTACGTGTGACAATATGTCTGAGCCTCAGAAATGTAATTTTGAAAGAAGTCAGACATTTAAAAAATGCATACATATAATTCTATTAATAGAATCTAGAAACAGAAATTTTAGTTGAATTAAACAATGGAACCCAAAGAGATAGACATTTAATGTTAATTATCTCAAAGTTATCGTAGTGTAATTATATTGTAAAATGAAGGCCAGTTTTCTTCTATATACAACCTCAGACAGATGTAGGCACAGTCAATCTATTCTAGAAGATATGTTTCTTATACTATTATATCCTTAAGTAGGAAATGAACTTTCTGAGATCTTTGGAGCTGATACACCATTTATTAAAAAGTTTTCTAAACTTTAAAAAATTATTTTAAAAAGTTATGTCAATGTAAAGTTTTGGGTGGGGGTTGGAGGGTGCCTGGCCGTTAAGGGGTCATTGTAAATTTAAAGTCATTGTAAATTTAAAGTAAGATATTTTACAAAATTCTGAAATATATGACAGAAAATAAAATCATCATCATCATCATAACAAAGTACTCTTGATACTTCTGTCCAGTTCAATCTTTTTCCTATATATAAAGTTTATACTAAGATACATTACACAGTATTATATGTATATTATATGCTGCAGTATATTAATATTATATCATAAGCATCCATTTTTTTCCCAGTGGAATAGTTAGATCATGTAATTTTAAAGAATCCCTTATCATTCTGATTATTCTTTCTTCATTCTCTCATAGTCACACTTAATTCATAGAGTTTAAAAAAAGCAACTTTTTTTCTATACTGTTCCAGGTGAAAGTGTAGAATAAATTTCTTCTAACTTTGGTTTCCATTCTTAGTTTACAGCTGACCTTGACCAATTTGATCAGTTATTGCCCACCCTGGAGAAGGCAGCACAGTTGCCAGGCTTATGTGAGACAGACAGGATGGATGGTGCAGTCACCAATGTAACCATCAAATCAGAGATCCTGCCAACTTCACTTCAGTCCACCACTGCCAGATCCACTTCCAGGATGAATAGTATGTATGGGAACACTTCATTTTAAATGTTTAGTGATAATGTGGATTAGTACTTTGTCTCTCACCATTATTGCACAGACCTTTTGTTTGTTAAGAGTAAGATATCTTTTTATTAATGCCACTATAAATAATAGTTATATTTAGATAAATGAGTTAACTTTATTCATCTTGTGTATTTTAAATTGCAGCATGACCTCTATCCTTTTGTAATTAATGTTAAGTTGAGCAGTTGATGTTAAGGAGAGCAATTTTGTATTCTTACCAAAAACATCCCATAGTAGGACTTTCAGAAATACAATATTGAGTCAGATTATATTTCCCAAAATGTCTTCCTTGAACATGTGTCCTATGAGTTGCAAAAAGAAAGGATTCCGTGTTAAAATACACTCGGGAAATGCTACATGTCCCAAACATTTCCCTATTGAAGTTTCACAGTGCCTTTTAAAGGTTTTGAGAAGTTCTGTATTAAAGAAACCAGTTTAGATTTCTTTAACACAGCATTTCCCAAACTTTCTTGATTATGGAGTTCATTTTCTCAAGTAATACATGTTACCCCACAGAATGAGTTTTCCATGGAGTGTTGTTTAAAAGACAGCTGTCTCTGTTGTTCTAACCCAGGTTAGCATTTTCCTAATTAAGAGATACTTTGATAGTATAAATATTTCAAATTCATGACGATAGGACTGTCAAATTGTTTCCACTCATCAAATTTTGAAGTTGAAAAAATCATTGGTAATAATTCCATTGTATGACCTTGAAACTAAAGGAAATTAACCAGCTCACTTTCAAAATTTGTTTGGGTTTCTGATCTTAGTCCTGTCCTTCTTCTGATGAAATCAGATGTAGGACTTAATTTATTTCTATCTTACTGAAGCTTTTAACTGCCATGACCCAATTCCTAAAGTTTACCAAGATTTCCAGGCAGCTACAAAGAAGAATCTTGAATCATCTCTGACATCTTAGGAAGCAATATTTTAGCTGACCACAACACTAGAGGGGGAGTGAGGAACCTAGATTCAAGTCTCACATTCACCATTTATTAACAGTGTTACCTCAAGGATGCAGATCTTCTGGGTATTTTTCTCTTTGTCCACAAAATAAGAATTAGATGTAATGACTTTGAAAGTTGCTTCTAATTGAAGCAGAGAGCCTGCAGACTTTGGGTATCAGGCACAGTTGGGGAAACAGTAAGATGATAGGCTGAAAAGAGATAAAATGAAAGTCTGTGTATTAATTGTTTTGGGGTCCTTGTCACCTTCCCCATCCAGTATGGGAGACTGGAATAGTTTTCTCAGGGGACACTGAATGGCCAGAAAGAAGATGTCAGGATGCGGGTATACAAGGGGAGTTCCTTACAGTGTAAAATCTGCCCTGCTATTTAGTCATCCATTGGTGAAGGCTACCAAAAGAGATGAGCCTCAAACTCAGCCCTCACAGTCAGTGTTTTAGAGTATTGACTAAACAGACACCGCCAAGGATCATCAGGACTTTGAGGAAAGTCTGCAACTTGAAAGAGAGCAAAAGAGACAAACGGAAAAAGAGTATGCAATGGAAATATATAATAAGTGTATGGACTAAAAAAAAAAAAAACTACTAAAAATTTTGAAAAGATAAAGATATGTTATCCATGAATAACATGAGAAGAAAAAAGGGACAAAGAACAAGAACTCTTGGAAACTAGATATCAAAAAAAAGATAAAGATATGTTATCCATGAATAACATGAGAAGAAAAAAGGGACAAAGAACAAGAAAGAACTCTTGGAAACTAGATATCAAAGATAAAAAACGTTGAGGGAAATGTGAGAAGATAAACCTGAGGAAAACTTACAGAAAGAACAGAATAAGCAAAAGACAAATGGAAAGTAGGGAAGACAAGTTTAAAGAAATTATAAGATTGACTTAGGAGGGCCAATAATGATTAATAAGAATTCCAGAAACAACAACTATCAAGGGGGAAAAAATGGAAGAAAAGATATTATCAAACAAAAAATTGAGAGTTTTCTGGAAGTAATTGAAGGACATGATTCTGCAAATTGAAATGGCTCAAGAAGTACCCAACCCGAGTGGAAAAAAAAATTACTTGTACAAAAGCTTTTTATCATGTCATTCTGGAACATCAGAGATAAAGACTCTGAAACTTTTCAGATAGATGATGTTAATGGCATACAGTAAAATCAGGAATTTCTTAAAGGTAATGGTGGAACTAGAAGACAAAAGAGCAGTGTTTTATGATTTGAGAAAGAGGACTTTCAACCTTGAGAACAATAACTGGCACTGAACTATGCCTCCCACTATAAATACCTGGAAAAATGAGCAAATATATGAAACAGTTCTTTTCAGACAGCAGACAGTAGGCAGTGTGGGACTGTGATCCTTGTCAGAAGGGGAAACAAACAAGGTGAACTCTACAACCATCCCAGCATTTTTTTTGGAGACATTTATCAAACCAAGTTCAGGTAAGAAGAATCCAAAATGATGATCAATATCATACTTATTGAGAAAATAGAGATCAGATTCAGTGAGACTGGGGTAGCTAGAACTTGCTAGGAAGAGTACCAGAGAGGAGAAGGATATATAGAAAAAGAGCTTCAAAAATCTGTATTACAGGGCCGGCCCGGTGGCGCACTGGATAGTGCGCCACCCAAAAGCAAGCTGGCAGGCCCCAAGTTTTCAAATACAGGAATCATAAATAGAGATTTCATCCAGAGATT